CAATTTTAAAAGAAATATGCTCCTCCTAGGCAGCAGTTCCCTACCTAGAAATGAACTAATTACTGAGCTAAACTCTCAACCGACCCCATTTGTTTGCAGACATGCATGGCAATGTAAGGTATGTTGAAGAGCATAGTAAATTAGGTCTGTTTGTTTCCATTTTCAATGTAGAATCTGCTGGCAAAATTTGTAATACGAGTAGCCTGACACCTGTGTATACCAAGAAATCTCATGACATCTCTTTATGTTAAATAATTAAAGGGACAATATTTATTTTATTTTTATCTTAGTAGTTGCTCGCTACTATGATCTCAAGTAGGTTATTCTTTGAGAAAACACTATGATAAGGAAAATTGTATAGTATTTTTAATTTAATTAATGAACTATTGGTTATTCATCGAGAATGATGAGAAGCTTTTAATAGTTAGATGATTTGTATGGAAATGTCTGAATTGATTGATTAATTCGATCGATAAAGAGTTAATTAACTCTCTTCGCGTATAATAGACAATTCAGAAGTTACTTTAGGGGTTTGTTTATTTATTTAGCTGAGAAATAAAAATTCAATTAAACATACTGTTTTATCAATATTTACTTTTGAGAATCCGCTCAAAACAATTTGAATTATTCATGATCAGAACACTTGGTTTCAACTGATGTAACTCGATAAACCACTCTCATTCTTCCGGGGATAAAGTTTTGATCTCTCTAAGACTGGTTTTAAGAGTCCCCGAATGTCCCTGTTCAAACATTTCAATTGTTAGTGAAAACAAAATTGTAAATATTTAACCGCCTCCGCAAAGAGAAAGTCACGAAAGGAAGAGAATGAGTTGTTGTTCTTGATGAAGAGGTGATTCTGCGTTTCCAGGGTAGGCCCTCCTCTTGTTTCGTACGGCACAGGAAAAAAGATTACCCAACCGGGCTGTTCACCAATAGTGAAAGTTCAAGATCTTCTTTTCCAATGTCAATGTCACGACATAATGGGCAATGTCCGATTCCACCGTGAAACGTAATAATGGAGCGCGGTGCCCGTTTCTTACAGGGAGAAATAGATGTTTCGGTAGCCCATTGTTTGCCAATGCTTAATAAGCATCTCGATGCTGTCATTACTCGGCGCATTCTGGAACACAACACGCACTTTGAGGTGTTGTAATCCGACACTTTTATTATCCTCCCCGTTGTTTATACAAATCTAACAAATTGCTGTTTTTATTGCTTTTTTCTTTTTTACTCTCTGGACCAGTTCAGGGGCAGAACAAGCCAATGAGTTTATCACATCAAAACGATACTTTTTATTTTGCTTCTTGCTATTTTTTTTATCTTTAATTTTTTAACATATTAAATATAAGCGTTAATTTAGGCGATCTAATCTAATAAGCCCTTAATAAAACTGATTCAGAATGATTCAACTTCTTCTAAATTCTATTACAACGTATTTGTAATGATTTATGAACGCGATAAACAGCAGGATGAAGAATTTATGTAGTCGTTTCGGACAAAGATAAATGGAAAAAAGTGAAAGATGCCAGGAGGGACAGACAGATCTGTTAAGATGTATAATTATGGGATTCCATGGGTCAAAAGAGGTGATGGTGTTTCGTCTACTCTAACATGTAATATCATCCGTTTAGCATCCTGCTAACGCCCATTAAATAGCATTTAATTGTGATCTCCATTAAAAACTGACCTCGTCTATATTTAGCACAGAGTTACTGTTAAATTTAACGAACGATATATGAGTCTGTTATATGAATTTGTTTGAATTGTTAATTATCTTTGTGTTGAGATGTCACTAATCGTTTTGCTTTAAGCGCCCATTGAGAAAGTATTTAACATGTTATCACTATTGATGGCGAATTAGTCCTATAGAGTCTATTATCAATTGAGACATAATATACATTACCCATTCGATGCGGATTGTTCTAATTAATCACATATCTAAATGAAGTACCTTTACATTTATGTAAATAAGTTTATTACCCCTTATAATCTTTCATTGTTGATAACATAATACCAAATATGTATAAATTAATGGATAGTCTATTTGTTTTTGTATTTCTCTGGGTAAACAGTACAGGTAAAAGGCGAATATTATTGTTCAGTCGTAGGAACCCTGAATATAAACATTCGTCAGAGTTGTGTAGAGATTAGTGACCGTTAATCGATTCAGTTATCGTGAGATGCGGTCGTGTGTGATGTAGGTTTCAGAAAAACATTTTCTTTATCGTGCCAACGTTTCGATCTTTTATTGGAGATCATCTTCAGGGTCAAAGTGTTTGTCTTCTGTGTAATTGTGCCATCCTTGCGTGTCGTGTTGAGAGTGCCAGAGTGTTTTTGAAATCTACATCACACCCGACCGCATCTCACGATATCTGAATAACTATTCGTCAGAGTCATTCATAAGAAACTAGGCTTTTGGTTTTCCAGCCTGGTAGAAAGAAGTTGAGTACGTGTCCTGGCCCCCTCAGTCTCCCGAGCCCAATTATTGAAGAAAGCGTCATAAATTATAAACATGAGATTTGGCCTGGGCAATAAATATCTCTGAACACTTTCACTGAATTAAATCGCATTTTAACGTCGATGAAACGTCGGGCCAAATTTTGCCGGTCTGGGCCAAATTTCTATAATCGACGGCAGTTTGGTCTTGTGTTACCGGCAAAGAGACAGGTCAGTTTCTGTAAGCCGTTTCAAGGATAATTTTTGCGAGTTCACGGCCGGTTTTTCACAATGACCTCGCGTTTCTAGCCGCAAATGCCAAATATTTGTGGATTTCTACTTGAATAAATAATAAAAAACTTTGTCAACATTTCAAAACGTAGTTGTACGGTAAAGTTAAGGTGTATATTATTTATACATTCATCAAATGACCACGGCCCCTGCCTTCGCGAAGAAATCAGCTTGTTCGTTTAATTTACATTTAATTCACCGTTAGATAATCCTCATGCTCGCCTAATGTCTCAGGGGGGTTTCGCAATTTACATCATCTCCGAATACGTAACGGAAAAAACGGCCGAAAGAATTTATCCGTAATTAATTCAGAAATTAAGAGTCAAAATCTGCTCTGGTATGGTATGGTTCTATACTCGTTTCCTTTTTAAGCCTTCGTATGATAACTTTTTACATAAATTTATAGTGAGAAAATATTTGTACATATTTGGTATTGTAAGATTTTTCCATGTTGTCTGCGAGGTTATGAACCGATAGTTTAGTCGTCTATGATCATTGCTGATTTGTTCTTTTCGGCTATTCTAACCATTTCAGCATCTTCAGTTGCTGTCCAAGTTAAAATTTTACGATGATTAAAGACCAACGACACATTCAATATTGTGAAATATTTTGCACAGCTTTGCAAGATTATGACTCCATAGTTTTCTAATCATCCAAATCTGCCTATCCATTGCTTATTTCGTGAGTCAAACATGGGTAATCATTTCAGCATTTTCAGTGGTTGGTCGGTCGAAGTTGAAATTTCACTGTGATCAGAGGCAAACTGCTGTTTGATTTCAATATTGTGAAATATTTTGTACGCTTTGAAAAATTAGGATTCTACAGTATGATTTTCTCTAATCATCCTGGTCTGCTTATATCTTGCGTATTTGGTTGTCATACTTGTTTCATAATTTCAGCTTCTTCAGTGTTGATCTGTTCAAGTTTAAATTTCAGGATGATCAGAGACAAAATACAATTTCAATATTGCAAAATATTTTGAACCGTTCTGCATGATAATGAGCCTGTAGTATTATGGTCTCCAATCATTCTGGTATGCTGAGTTTGTCAGATTTTCGGCAATTCCTCTTCTTTAATTGTTGTATTGTTAAATTAAAATTTAAAAAATAAAATCATCACTATGATCCTAGCTGATTTGTCCTTTTCGACTATTTTAATTATTTCAGCATCTTCAGTTAGTGTCGTTTATTTTCAGGATGATTAAGGACCAAAGAACCAATATTGTAAAATGTGTTTTTATAGTTCTGCAAGACTTTGCTCCTCCGCAGTCTCCTGTCATCCGGTCTGCATACCTCTCCTGACCAAATTAAAAATTCGGCATATTCGTATACAATCATGCTACAATTCCCACGAGTATTTTTGTCTGCAAAATGATGAATCGGTATGGATATTGCTTATCACCGGTCCGCCAAACTTCATTTATTCGGTCTGTCATAATAATTGTTTGGTTTTTTCTTCAGGCGTCTGTGTATTGTTTTGTTAGTTTGCTCCTTTTACTGTTTCATATTATTTTTACATATGAACGGGTTACATATACGGATTAATCTGACCGATTTGAATTACAAGTATTATCGAATGCCTAAAAAAATATTTCAAATAATGTAATAGCAATTTTCATATAGTTGGTTGTATTTTGATCATCCGGTCCATTAATAAAATAACGTTTTTGTAGTGGTTTTGTACTATAAACTGGAAAAAATACATTAACATTCATTAATTAACAAACGTGTTTGTAACCAATGACCTATGAACGGTTTGTTAGATATTCCCAATTAATTTATTTTATTAATTGTTACTCCATTTATTTTCTTTTTATCAGACCAGAAATGCCTCATACTTTTCTTGCGAAATATTTTTTTGTAATAAGTTGTGGGCGTATTTACACGTCTGAATTGCATAACAGCTGCTACGGGCATATTTACGAAACTTACCCCTGGCCGTGTCCGACGTTAATTTACCTCCGAACCCTCAGGTCTTTATGTCAATTATGCAAAATATTTAAACAAAATTTATCTGTAAAGTCGGAGCAATAAATCAATTACTTATTAACTTAAAAGGATATTCCGATAGATTATGAGGTCCTTTAAAGGCAGCCAGCGTTCGTTCATTCGGAGCCAAACATGTTTCAACGTTGACCGAATTTGAGGCCCACCCGTCAAAAACCTTTCGCCATCTGCAAGAAAATCGCAAGCTTTCTAAAATTCGCTGTTAATATTGATTTGGGCGAAAGCTGTCTGCTAAATAAAACACTAACGGATCGTTTTCTTTTTCAGGAACAACGACAGCAGAAGACCTGGTACCCACCCTGCTGAGCATGTACGACACGCTGGTCGGCAGGCCGGGGGTGGTAGTGGAAAAGGAAGCCAAAAGACCGACGGAACCGCCTCCATTGCCACCCCCGGTAACAAGACCTCTGTCAGTTACATCAATCGCATCATCTTCATCGTCATCTTCTTCTTCAGGTGAATCCATTGTTTATTAAAAAAAACATTAAACCAAAAGAGGTGAAAAAAAGACCAAAGTCAGTGGGTCATACTTTCCACGTAATGGAATTGCGGTTGTTAGGTCACAGGAAACGTCTTGACCAAGACCTATGGAATTCCTTAGGAAACCACTGAGGCATCGTTCAATAATTTCTTTAAAATTGTGACATCTCGGTGATTTCCGATTGTTAGAGATGTCACTCGTTAGGAACATCGTAATTAGATTCATCCAGGCAGTTTTTGAACATGAATATAAAACAGCGCAGTCACTCGATCTATCAGAAAACAATTATTTAATATTTAATATTCAATATCCACTATAGAACTAAAATGGTATTGTATAGTGAAATAGTTGTGACAATTTTCTTTTGACTATTTGCTATTTTTAATGGCTTAACAACCTTACATTGTTTTAAATCAATATATCTTGAGGTGTTTGATATTAGATTTAATACGATAATTTAATATAAAAGATTAGGAATAAGGCGGATAATAAAGAGGAACACTTTTTTTTCAAACTTTCGATGAATACATCCCCCTCAACATGATTTTGAAATTATTAGAAATAGTTAAGGGGCACTATCGTTTCAACCTTATAAGCTATTTCTAAGGATTTTCCAGTTTAAAAAATATAAACAACTACTTACAATATTTCAATGTATGGTTTCAAACATAATAAATTCTTGAGCTTAGGTTAATAGGGTGGACGAGATCTACTACCCATTCATTCTACATTCTTTTTTGAGCGTTCGTTTTACAATGAAATTCTATAATTAAATAATAAATTTGAGCAGTTAAAAGTTTCAATTGAGTAATTACAATCTAAGTACAAACAATAGGAATTTTATGTTTAACATAATATATAAGATAAAATTTATCTTGAATGGATTGATACCAGCCTTAATATTATAATTTTTATTTTATACTATAATTTTAGACTATAGTTTGAACTTTATCGGGACTTAGAAACTATTTCTAATGATTACACGGTACTACTTCTAATCTACTTATAATATTTGAAATATGAATACAACCTTTCAAATTTGCCTTATCTCTGATCTTTTATATACAATTATTTTGTATATTAAACATAATCCTTTCCGAACTTTGTGGTATTACAATTTATATAATACGAATGGAGGAATTACTATAAATATGTTGTTTTGGTTTTTTTTCTATAAAATTAAGGTATGGCGTTTGGAGAATTGTTCAAATCTGCCTCCTTTTTGATTAGTCTAAATTTGGTCGCAAAGTATAGTAATATTTTTCAGTGCAATAGTTTATAATTAAAAAATCATAAAAATCAATTAGCATATTTTCTTTGTCTGGTGCCTCTTTCCACAGAAACGAATTCATCGAACTGTTTCATCAAGAATTGTTTATTTAGTGTTTTTCCTTTTTGGAACACTTTGAAGTCTTGGACATGTAATAATAATAAATATTTTATACAAAATACTACACATTTTATACACATATAAAATTCTCACATAAAAATTACAAAACAGTTCGGGTAAAACAGTTTTTGCTTCAAACCTTTAACAAACAAAAGAAAGAAAACAAAATTTTAAACAAAAGTCAGTTTTAAGTTTAAAAAAATACATCGATAAAATCAATTTTACAAACAGAAGCAATATTGGCGAGATAGATGTTGATTACAATCGAGGGGAAAAAGTGATTTTTTTCAGTTTTTGGTACTCGCAGAAAGTACGATTTTATAAATTAATGTACACTACTTAGGCTGTGATTAACAAAATAATGTTTTTCGGCATTATAGTTAACTTTAAATAGAAGAATTTACAAAATTCACATACTTAAAAAAATAGTTTACATTTTTTCCAAATTCAATTATTCAAAATCACCATCGAAAAGACAAAATCTCATTATTTGGTCAAGGTTTAACTTAACGTACGTGGCAATACCAGAAGAGATAAAAATTATCTTGATGTGATTGATATCATCCTTAATATTATAATTTTTATTTTATATTACATAAATTTAGGTCAATATGAATTTCACCGTGACTTTGAAACTAGTTCTAATGATTAACCAATATAAAAATCTACTTACAATATTTGAAATCAGGCTTCATTATTTCAAATTTGCGTTAGTCGTACATTGTGGTATGAATGTTCGAACACGACACAAAATTTTATTAAATACGGGTACCGAAATTAGTACTAACCAACCTATTAGATAAGGTAGAGGGAGTGACGCCCTTATAAGTTGGTCAGATTAATACAGTTTGTAATGATCAAAAAATCATGTTTATTCTTGTAACGTCATACAAGTTTGCTGTTTAAACACAATTTGTGTTATATCATGTACTTTCCTCGTTTAACACGGTTTCAAGTGGGTGAAATTTACATTTCATGCCTACGTAACACAGTTTGAACAATTTCTCAAGTTGACGTGACAAGAAAATTGGGTTTTCAACATGTTTGCCAAAGGTTTAGTTAGGACATATGAAAGCCCCTATTGGTCGAGCTTTCGGGGGTATCGTCGTGTGTCGACAACTTTGAAGAGCGTCGGTTACTCTCATTCAGGAGGATTGGGCAAGTTTATCCCGAAGTCACGATCCTCACAGTTCCTTAACTCTGACCAGGGCTTCAAAGGAGGAAGATTGCAACTATGGCCGATAAAGTCAGACGGTTCTTTTATTGCAGTGCTTATTTCGGTCTTTCATATCTTGTAATAATGGCACCATTCTTTAGTTCTTTGAACTTAAGAGCGGGCAGTCATAATTTTCCAACCAGACCGGTAATTTGATTATGGAAGAAAAAACGGACGTAGTGTTCAAAACGATTAAAAATTCATTGAATGGATTTTCAAAAGTTACTCGGTTTTTGTTCAATATGTTACGACGATTCAGTCATTTCTGTCAAGAAAGATAAGCAAGGAATAATAAGCTTTATCTTTATTTCATTGCTTAATCTTTATTTTTATTATATTAACCATTCGTATAACAACTAAATTTAGACAGGTTCCAAATAGTTATCACATTTTTGAGTTCTTTAGAGCGGTAAAAAACACATAAACACGGTGGGAGAAAAACAATAGCGGTCAACCGGCTCCTTGAAAGATTTCGGAAGATATGCAGCAATAGTCACGAGCGCTCATTAACATAACAGGTCTCTTCAGGTCAGGAGGAGTACATGGACAATTTGGCATCTATCCGTCTATAACTGTTGTAAATCTTTTTAACGGTTCGAAAACAATCTGGTTGCTTTGTCTATAATGAGCGAAAGGTGGAGTTATGTGTGTCAACAATTTAAGCCGGTGTTTCAACACCGCTCCTTTCCCGTCTTTTGTACGGTGTAGTCGGATTTCATTGCAAGGGATTCAAAATATTTATTTACAAGAAAAAAGTGATAATCTTTACAAGAAATTTTCTCTGCGAAATTTAGGTGTTAAAAGAAGAAAATTACTCGCAGGTACCTGAGTACAACGACATACCGATAAGATAAGAGGCGGTCAATATTAGAATATCTATTAACTATTTGTTTTCCGTTATGTCATTTCCTCATGTTAATTCTAAAGTTGGCAAGTTAACAGCAATTTTACTAAAATTCCTGAAATAAAAAAGAGAAACTTACTTCTCTTGTCTTTGGGTCTTTTTTCACACCACACATTTTTTACTGTAAAGGATGTGCAATATATTACAAATATTACAAGATAACCATTTATTACAACAATGTTTTATATGGGAAATTAAAAATTACACAATTTTTAGACAAGTTGGACAAATTTGTATACATTAAAAGAATTCGTCTTGCCAGTTGTATTGACAGTTGTGACGTTGGAGTGACAGTTTTGCATACCCAACGTGTTTAGTATGGAATTGAGATTTATGAATTCAGTGATCTCATGGGTGTAATTTAATTTAAGGCAAATTCAACATAAAATTATAATTCTTTGTATGTAAGGTCTTAATTGATATGAAAAACTTGGTGTCACGAGCCGGTTTCGAACCCACGACCTTCGGCTCAATACGCCGCTGTTCTAACCACTTGAGCTATCGTGTCGTGGTTAGAGCAGCGGCGTATTGAGCCGAAGTCGTCGGTTCGAATCCCGCTGTAACAGTAACTTTTTCATTTCAACCAAGGCCTTGCATACAAAGAATGATTAAATGAAAGAGGAATTTGGTCAATCAGACCATTAAATATAATGGATTTAATAAAATTATAAATTCTGCAAAAGATAAGAAATAAATATCTTAAAGAATCCACAGAAGAAAATGTTTTGCGAATTAGATAATACCTTGGGAGAAATACAACCTTTTGTATTATCTCGCTTCCTTTCTAATTCGCTTGTTTTTTCCATCAGTTCTTGTCTTTCTTCCGATACTGCGTTACTGTTTTGCATACCCAACGTGTCGAGTTTGACCTTGCGGTTCAGAACCATCTTCAAGCTAGAAGTGCTCTCTTGGCCGCTCGTTTACCTGATTCAAATCTGTTAAAATCAAATTTATATTCAACATGCAATATGCGTTTCTGCAAAAAAAAAAGCTAAAGAGTCTCTAAAGGATCTGCAACAGAGAATGCAATGCGAATAGCTTTCTTCTTAACAAAATTCTCATGATACGTAGTTACAATGGGTGACAGTTTTCTGTATCAAATGTGTTGAATTATCTTCAAGATAATGTCCAAATTCAATGCTCCCATGACTACTTGGCCATCTGATTTGATGTATCCTATGTGTTATGTCCTTATTTTTTTATCTGTTCTAAGTTATTTGAAAGCAGTGAGTAAATTATTTGAAAACCTCGTATGTCCTTGTACCTTCTTACTTTAATGATCTATGTTTCTACATAGTGCCCCTTCCTTCATTGAAGAAGTTTTCCCAATTCCGACAACTATTTTGTTATTTAGTTTGGTCCGGAGGTTTTTTTTTAAAGTCCAATATCTTGATATTGTCGTTTTGGAGCTATTAGTGCTCTCTGCACAGGGTGGTTTTGCCCTTCATTGAAGTTTTAATCCTTCCAGGCAAGCCTAATCTAAGATGAGAGTGGTTTTCTTTTCAGTCCTTATTGTCATTATGTGAAGTATTGTTAATGTAAATATTTGCCAAATAAACTATATAAAAACAGCGAAATGCGTTAACGCCTGTTGCAAGAAGTACTAGTAACAAAATCGTTGGAGGTCCAGATTTTGATGTTGCACGCAAGAGTTTAATTCAAAACCAATTTTTCCTTATAAATTCCATTATGTAAGTTTAAAGAAGATCGTTGTTGAATCTTATTTAAGTCATTAAGTTTCGTCTGGAAGCGGTTGTCAGGCAAGAATTTTTAAACCGCCTGAACCTCCTCTCAATTATAGCAGCAGGTGTCTTAACGTGTACAGCCTTGACGATTTTGCTTTGTTCTACAAGAAAAATCATCGATGAAGTGAAATAAAATAAAACTATAATAATGTATGTTTAGTTGAAGAACCAATTAACGGATGTGCCTTTTGTAGTGAAAATATTTATTAATTAAGTACAAATGAACTTTAGTGAAATTGCACTAAAAATGAAAGCTTACCTTACAATCGATTTAATTTAATTTCCATTTTCTAAAGGTAACGCGTAATCAGATAGTTTAAATTTTCATAACAATAACGCAAGGGTTATTCTGATTACATAATACGCTTAATCATAATTACACTTAAAATTTATTTCGTTGAACTAAATCTATCAATTTGTTAATTCCAGTGACAAGCAGTTGTTCAGGAAGAAGGAGGTTGGCATCGAAAGCCTATCTTGCGTCAATCGAATCTCTCGACGACAGCGAGGATGAAGCTCCAAGTTGTAGGGCTTCAAAAGCCGGCTCCCACGGTAATCAAATTTCCTTTTCTCTCTTACGTTACGATATATGAATTAAATAATTCTAAGCTATGCAGCAAGTCGAATCGATTTGTTATCTTACAAGCCCAAACTACTCCAGTGCAGATTTTTTAAATTCAAAATAAAACAATAAAACATATTTCCGTTAGATTATGACAAAATAGTCACTTATATTCAGGATACGTTCTGACCGTGGCATCCTATAATAAGCAAAATTGGCATTCTACTATACATAAAAACATCACATTCACTGTGGAAAGTTAATTGAACAGTGACACATGAAACATTATTTAATCTAATTATTAACATAACCAACAACTAAAATTCAATATACTGAAAGGAAAAAACAGCAGAGAACCACAGAAACTGATTAAATTAGTAACTAAAATTGTATCACTGTAGTGTATAAGACACTAATAATATTGTAACACGTTTTTTTAAGGGGTATCCGCCAGCTCTATCATTTCAGCCCCGAGCGCATGAGAAATATAAAAATACCATTCACACAAATAAATACATTCACACCTACATACATTACATTCACTCTATTTAGTAAATGGAGTACTCAATATTACTCCAACGGCAGGCATACAACCTAATCTAATTGGGGTCGATGGGGTACTTTTATAAATATACCGCCATCGACCCAAATCACGTACACAGCTGGGGGGGGATGCTATTTCACCATCAGCCCCTCCCTATTCACTCTAACAAATACACTCACTCATACAAAACACTGAAACACAAAACACATATTTAGACGGCTATGTACAATAAAAAAAAATTCCCAATACCCCTAAAAAGCGGACAGAGGATCCTCGCTTGGATCCTAAACTCGCTACCGCCCGAGAACCATTCTTAAATCCGGCGGCACGCCTACACGCTCTCTGTATGGAGCCACGGCATGATACGTCTCTTTTATGTGGGACATATCGAGCAATCTTTCTCTGCATAAGGAGCACCTGCGCGGGCTTTGGCCCGAAAGCAGGTGTCCGTGTGTCAACTGCGTATGGCCAATCCTCGGTCGGGTGAGGACGATCCCTCGTCTTCTGCTCAGGTCTCGCAAGAGCCTCTCCGATGACCCCTATTCCAAACTAATTACAAACAATGACTATAGACATCATTATATCAAACAATACAAACAACAACATGTAACATTTCAAAACAATTATCTAACTGAGTAACAGATTACTAAAAATAAGTACTTACTAAAAAAAACTACTCCTGACAAGCAGAAATACACTACATTTTCAATGTGCAGAAGGAATAATAGAATAGAATAGAAATGAATTTTTAATTGTTAAAGAGCATAACTCATACAATGAGTTGATACTGAAACATTTTTATCAAAAATATATGCATAATAAATTAAAATTATACATATCATTTGTAGTAGTAGCTTTAAGTAACTAAATAGAATACAATAGAAAATATACATGTAATAAGTTTCATACTTCATATATCAATAATCAAATGCCGCACTCTGATAATGCTTTGTCACTATTGATAGAAAAATATTTAATTTTTCTTTAGACCCTGTGGAATATTCAATAAATAAATAATATTTAATGTAGTTGTTTAAGTCATATTAAGTTGTTTGATATAATGTTTACGTAATGATGTGTAAGTATATTAACATGTGAGCAGATCTGTATCCGAATTCAAACTACAAACGGTACATTTCTGATTATAATATGTATTATAACAACAACCATTGATGCTTAACTTAATGTACTGGCTATTACACGATCTCATTTGCGCTGTAAGTTTATTATTGCAAATGGCATTTTAATTATCAAGTAATCTATGGGGATTTTACCTCTCAATAGCAAAATATTATAAGCTGGTCTGTAGCGCGATTGAGACAATGTCTGTAGATCCTTATTATTTAGGAGCTGCTCAAATGACATTAAAATATTTTTAGACTCGCTTCTAAAAGAAGATCGGCATTGCCGTAACCGTAAGTTTCGATGGCCCAACTCATAAATAATTTTTTAACTTGCGACGCCCAGTTAAGATTCGTTATATTACTTGGTTGAGAGTCTAAATAAGAGGGTATCTGGTTGCTTCCGTTCCTAGCCTTTACATAGCTAACCAATTGTCAAATTTAATTTTGACCTGAACCGACATACGGTTACCATATACCACCCTCCACATAATTATTTGAAGGGATAATAATCTTTATTATACAGCTATTAATTAACATTTCAAAATTATTGTTTTGATATTTTATATTACTCAATTTTAATTTTTTAAACTAATTGTAAGTGTAATTACATCCATTTTTTTGTTGTATTGGGTGTGAAGAAAAATATTTTAATGTTATATTTGATGTTTTTTTTTTTATAATTTATATCGTATGAAACATTTTCATATTTTTAGAATCATTATTATTCCATTTTGTTCTTTTTTCTATAGTGAGTTGTACAATGAATCATTGAATGTTGATCAATGAATGTTTGATTCATCTAGTAGTTTTGTTACATTTTCCCTAACACACACCCTTAATAAATTCACTAACTTATCATACATCAAAATTATTAATAAACTTATGTATTATTTGGTGAGTTTGTAAAATGGTTATTTTAATGTTAAGAATAGAAGCTGTGAAGGGTCAAGTGCTGGCCACAAAGCTACCGAGGAATAAAAACTTGTACAACAGTTCAGAAAAATAAACGTGTAACAACTTTGTTGGGTCAATGTTTGGGCCTTAGTGAAAAAGGGCCATCAAACCTATAAAAAGGACAATTGGCTCAATAGCATACAGATACCAACGATGATGATGAGGTGATGTACATGTATTTTTCTGGTCTGCATACTCATCTCTTAACATTAAACGTATACAAAAGGACACAGTTGGGGAAATAACTCCCAGACAACCACTGAAGATGAAGCGTTCAATAACTCAATCAAAGCTAGCGACAATAGGCAAACAGGAAGAACTGGGATAATAACACTACATTAAAGTTAAATTTTCTAAAAAATGTGGTTGCGGCCTGCGATGTCATGCAGTTTGACCCTTAACAACAAACATACAAAGAGGGGCACAAGTGACAGAATATCACACACATGAACCTCGAGGGCAGACAAAATATGTATTTACTAGGATGATCATAGTCGATCAAGCTTCGTTCAAGACAGATTAATTTTATATCTATTTTTCATTTCTATTGTGCAGAATAAGTATGACATCGATTTATTCAATTCTTTTCATGACAGCTTATTACATACAGTAAATTTATACATTTGCCAAACGCTTTTATGAATGTGCCGATGCGTTGAAATAACAGTACATTACAATTTAAAACGCACATGAAAAATTTTCTGAGATGAGACAGGCATAGTCTATAACTTTTCGAAAAAAAAAATGGTTGATTGATTAATCAATTCTTCCTTCCACAAGTTGAATATAAAATACACATCCACAAACAAGGACACAACTATTAATAAAAATTATATGTCAGTACAACATATGTTGACATTCGATTTTTATCCTCTTTTTAAGAAGTACTTACTATGCGAACTGATTAAATCATTGATGAGGCTAAGTATTAAGGCCACAGTCTTGTCAACTGGCTTTAGACGATAAAGAATCGAACTTTAATTTAGTCGCACTTATTAAAAATCGACTTTTATCTTAATCTATTTTTAACTCCAGGAGTTTATTTTTAGAAACGAAGTACGGAAAAGGAGTTTCAGACATTCGAAATAGCGGGAATGTATTTATCTTTTTGAAAAAAGCTTTTATAGAACGGCTTGCCGCCCGCTATTGGCCTATCTGATACATGTTTCATTGACCACAGAGGAGCCTGTCTTATTCCATTAGTTCCATACATAAAAGGCCTCCAACTTCCATTTCAGGAGAGGAATGTTAATTACAAAGTTCTGCGCATATTTCGACGATGTCTTCCCTTCGAGAAGTTGCCGTTCTTCCGTTACACACGGCTCATATGCAACAGGAAGGCGAGTACTATTTCGTGATTAAACAATGCCTAGGGCGGTCGGGAGCACTCCAGTATAACACAAATTACAACTTGCCAACACGCCTGGGCAAATAATGGGTTGCCTTTCGAGTTTTAAAATCTTTTTACCCTATAAGGGAAATGCATTAGACTGGTAAGTCCGTTATTCATTTGATGTAAACCGGCCGCTCGAAGTGATACTGAAAGTAAACACTGGCCATCTGTGGATGTGAGGATTGTCCCTTAGCTGCATTCCAAAAGGTAATTTCATCTCCGCTTCAAAGGTTCATGACCTTAGACAAAACTGTTGCTATTTATGTCTGTTCCACGTTTCGAGACGTCACCCTTTTTACATAGCATACAAGTTATTTTCCAAAAACCTTAAAATTCAACTATACACGAAGCTGTGTGGTTTCTTCTTGAGGTCTGTGAAGAGATAAGTTTTTTAAACGTTTCCTGTCATTTTAATCCGCCTAACGTCGCTGTTTTGATCTATAAGACGCGTCTTAGCATTATTTTGCCATCTTCCAATTTTAGGTTTTCTGATATTAACAAGCGTATTCCTTTATAAGCGTGAACAAATGAAGAGGTATGCTGACATAGACTTTGATTTGTTGTGAAACAACTTACCAACAACAAACTTGCAAAAAGGACAAGATTGGCGAAATAACTGAAATAACCACCAATAATAAAAGTTGTATTTATAGGGAGACAACGATTTTCGGAATTGATCGAGCTACATTTATATTTTAACTACTTGCCATCGTGTGGTAGACACCATCTCCTCCTCTCTTGTGTTGGGGCAGAGGCTCCTCCTCTCTATTCTGGGGCCTTTCTATTTGTAAGCCCTTCTCTCCATCTACTATCTCATACTGCACAGCTATCTGACTGACCGGTTTTTCCGAGTCATCGAAGACAATACAATCTTAGAATATTTCCCCATCCAAGGGTTCCTCAGGGTAGCGTTCTGGCCCCACACTATATCAGGTTTATACAGCTAACATTCCATCACATCCTCAAATCATCACACTCACATTTGCAGACACAAGATCTTCTCAAGTAACTATGATCCTGTCATTTCAACTCGAAACCTTCAACACCTCACCTCTTGTATTCATGTGAAAAGAAAATAATCAAATATAAATCAAACAAATCCACCCATATTACCTTCACTCTCCGAAAAAGGACCACCAGTATACTTAAATAATGGTTAGGGTCATATGGGTCATAGGGGTTATATGGTGGGGGGTTAGTCCTACTCGCACTGAAGAGACGATGGCGGCGAAATATTTTACAAAATGAGAGTGAGTGTTACTGAATTAATTAAACGAACATTTTAGCATCATTGGATGGACCTGGGTGAGGTGGGGTATTTTCTCAATTCGTATTTTCTGCACTTTAATTTTGTATATATTTCTTATCTCATTGCTACGTGCTATCGATTTGGTAGTTGTAATGTACTGAAAAAAAACTTGAAAAAATAAAAAGAATATTAATTTATGCTTGAACTTTTCTCAGGATCTGGAGACAGTGGAGTTTGTTCGCCCTGCAGCTACATTAGTTCGCCCTCGCCTCCTCATAACAAGCCGAGATACTGTGATCCACATTTGAGCTACATGGATCGCGTAGTAATGGAGATCATTGAAACCGAAGGGGTCTACGTGACGGATCTGCGTCAAGTTATAGTCGTAAGTAACATACTTTACATTTTGCCCGTGTGATGTACTCACCAAATTCAGACAAAAGACGAATGCGCAAGTATCAATAACTTCATGCAAGGTCTGTTAACATATCAGTCTAAGATTAATATTCCCGATAGTTCTTATTGTCGTATTCTAATGAAGTGATTCAAAGAGTTTTCGAATGCAAGGCCTATACATTAATTATGTGAAATGAGAGGTTTGTTATATGTAATAGCAGGAAGCTCTGACTTTTTTCCGTGTTTCGCATTCTTCAAAAGATGAGAAATGATTTAATACCCCTTCGCCATCCAGTATCAACCCTTTCACTCAGCAACCCCACAATTGTAGTTTGATTGAGTCCAATCATATGTCAACCCTTTCTCGCTTTGGCCCTGACTTGTTTCTTTTGCAATCTTCAGTGGTTCGACTGCCTTAGTTCAGGATACACATACCAAGAGATCACACATGATTAAACCAGAATTCCAATAGTATGACATGTCCATTCAATTCACTAGTTTGAAAAGTGGCAAAAAGGAGGGAAAATTCGAAAGGTTGGGATGAGATGGGAAGTTAGTGTCCGAGTGGATCGAAGTCACGATAGCTCAAGTGGTAGAGCAGCGGCTTATTTAGCCGAAGGTCGTGGGTTCGAATCCCTCGTGACACTGACTTTTTTATCTCAACCAATACCTTTCACAAAGATTAATTATGACATGTTTTGTTCAGGCAAGAAATGTATTTGTATTTTTGTCGTCGTGAAAAAATACAACCGCGTGTAAGTAAAATGGTTTTAACTAGGATAGATCATTTTAGGTGTTTAGTTAATTAAGTTTGGTCGTTTCCTATCATTTTGGTGTATCTATCGGTGGGTCCATCAGTGCTAGGTCTATTCCATCCCTAACTATTCTCTTGCTTCGCCCTTCTTATATCCCTGACCAACCACTGAATGCGAAATGCACAAACACAGACGACCAAGCGAAAAGTCAACACGCATCAGACAGAACAAAACAGCGAGGCAGGCTGACAAAAATGGCCGGAAATGACCGAACTACCGGTTCATCACTCCACAGGCCTTATAAAGAAATCTAACTATCTAGTAAATGTGCGCTTAATCGATTTCAATAGGAATTTTAAAAAATATAGCTGCATAGTTAATGGGATAGAATCTGATAGCTTTCTAGTAAATGTAAGAATCGGTTTCAATTAGGATAAACAGGTACATAGTTAATGTGAGCAGAACCCACATGAACTGGGAAGAAAAGCAATTACTTCCATTGTTAATGTGCAATCAACTGGTATAAAAAATAATACTTCCTAGATAATGTGGTCTGAATGTACTTCAAATGGGATACAAACATATCGATAACTTCATAGTAAATGTGAGAACAATCGATTTCCACAGGGTCAAAACATTGCAGTACTTTTTCAAATATGCCATAACGATGGTAATTAATTTTTAATCCAAAATAACTATATCACGTGCTATAAAAATAACTATAACAAACTGCAGAGGCCAAATCAAAAACATTTAATAAATTCAGAATAACTAGTTTTTTATTTCATAATTAACATACCAGTGACTTTATTTCAAGGTCTTGTATAAATCTCAAACTAATTAAACAATATATAAGGAATTATTTATAACAAACATTCACTTACAGTACATGCCTATATGATTGTTGTCGTGTGCGTTTTTCTTCTTTACCTCGTCATGCTTGGAAGTGAAATTTACTCTCTTTTAATTTAGCTTTCCAAACTCCAAGATTACCTTTGACAATCCAGGGCTTATAACAGCCTATTAAATTATTAATGATGCCATGCGATTCCACTGTCCAAGGGTTGACTTTCGGGTAATTGGCGTCTGAATATTCAATAGGTTTCTCCCGTAGAGCGTCGTGGCTCCTTGAGGAAATTGTTCCTCGTCCAAACAGCTTTACAGTCCCATCAAGTTTTGGCACGATTGGCGATATTAATATTAGATAAATTTATGACAAGGTAAATTTAAATTAAAATAGAAAAATTTCAACTGTACTTCCACACCTTTTGTAAATTTGTACGATAGTCTTGTTTACTCCTTTTCTCATTGAGTTCTATTTTCTTTTTAACATGAAAATTTGAATATGAACAACATAAACAGTAAGTATTCATATGAAATAACGCTAAGGTATCCAAATACGTATTATTAAAAACTTATGATTGCTTATGACAGTAAACTAAATCCTTTGAGGTTCTTTTGCTTTACTGCTCTCAGGTATCTTCACCCTTTCTCTTTCCTTTTTAATAATAACGAGGCCAATTAAACACACAATCAACATCCTCGTTTGGGAGCAAGACAAAGCGTGAGAAGTAATAGTTTTTTTTTTTAATCTAGAACTGATCCCGAAATAATTTTTAAATTTATATATAATAATTTTGATCCTTGTAAATGTAGATTGGTCGCGCCGATCATCCTGGCCCGCCTAGCCTCGCTGGTTTTGTTTGTCAGATGCGTTTAGCTATTTATGTTATTGGTCTGAATGTTTTGACAGTTTGACTGATATATTTGATCCAAGATTGTATGGCGTTTAATGTTTGTAACCCCGTCCCGTCGCGACCCAAATTTTGGGTATTGTTTGATTATTTGTTGAAGACTGCGGTTTGTGTAGCTTGATTATATCTTATCATCCTATCAGTATCGCTGTTTTGTCAGTCAAACGCCAAATTCAACAAAGATTCCGATCCACTAAATGCGTAAAACTTAAGTCTACAGACAAAAACGCACTGAAAATGCTAATGGCGGTCTGAAGACGAAACGAGCGAAAATCGACCTGGTCGTCCCTGAAACAGTAATAAATACATTTCAGAAAAGATTATTGTTATCAGTTGTATGAGAAATTATGATAAAGTAGGCGTTTTACAATCGACCTTTTCTTGACCAATTGGTCATGGGTTTTTTTCCATTGGATAAACTATGTTTGACAGCCATGTGTGCTTGATTGTGCTACAATCTGACCTCGACTAGTTTTCGTTTATTTTTTAATCTTGTCCCATTTTCTCTTTGGATGGACTAGACGCCTTGTTTATTGGCCAGATCGATTGTTTCCTACAATGGAAATCAAGGCGTGCTATGCGGACCTGTCCATTGTTATGGCCAAAACCATGTCCTTGGTCTTCGGATTACAAAGGGCCCAACACATCGTGCGTCTTGTTTTCGCCTCTGGTCAACCCTCAACGCCTACGTTCAATTCCTCCTTGAATTAAAAGGGAGAAAGTACTGATATACTTTTCAAGAAAGTTTAACGTCCCGACTATGCAAATTTGTGGATCGGGTAGCTCTGGGATACCGGTGAAACCACCCCCGCTTCGATTTCACACATATTTTGAATTATTTGATGCAAATTTAATGGTTTACAGGAAGAGAACTTCTAAACGGTTTTACTAAATCCACGAGAATTAGTATAATTATTATAATTATTATAATTATTTGACAAATGACTGATTTTTGAATGTTTTTAAAGTGAATTCCATTAATCTTTTCTAAATTTTATGTTTTAGAGATCCCATAAATTGCGAGAGAACTTTTAGCATTACGTCATGTGTAACATCAGCTTTCGCTTTTGATTTCATCTAAATGGTTGACAATCATAGCATCTATTTTGATTTTGTCACTATTTTTCCCCGTAAACACTTAAATTATTATAAAAACTTAAAAATAAAAAAAAACAGTATATATGTAGTTTAAACCACAAAAAGAATGACGAATCAAATTTTCTTCGTCCATTTTATGATAAATACGTTCAATTAAAACCAAATACGAAAATTATTAGTAACTTGATCATCATCAACATTCAAAATCAACCTGAATCAACCGAAATCTGGTCTGTGGCACACTCCCACCGAAGAGTTCCGCTAAAGTCATACTCCATTCTACAAAGGGTCAGAAAATGTAAATGATTTACTAGTTTAAACAACGCTTTCTCCCAATTACCACCACAAGAAAAACTTTTATTATTAACTTATGGTAAGATAAGATCACGAACCTCTCCTGTGGTACCAGAGCAGAAAAAGAGTCCCATATACGTGAAATTATAGAAACAACGGTGCAGAATTAGTTCATTTGGACGGTCGGAACTTTCGAATGTTAAAATCAAAATATAACCAGGATGAGGATATTTTTCAAATAAGCTTTGATGAATCCTGAGATCTGTTGATCTGACTATTGTTTGTTCACTATTAATGACCGACAATGGCACAAATAAATGGTTAGTTTTTACTGCACCGCCCTGGTCCTGACCTCGCCCCATCAGCCTACCTTCCCTTCGTTTTAGGGAAAAACGCTTCATACATTGAAAGTCTTTAAAACTGAATTCAAATACCTTTCGTAATCTCAATTCAAAGATTGGTACCTCGGAAAAAATATTCTGTTAATAATATGAACAAAATTATAACTTTTAAAATAGTCATTTTATTTATTTTTGAACTCGGCCGTATACTTTTGTATTCTTTGCATATTTCGTGTACTCAAAAAATAAAATTTTATATTTTAGTTAAAAACACAAGATAGAAGCTCAGTAATGTACAACCTTCGACAATATTATTTATATATGCAGAAAATACAATTGAAATTTTATTTTCTGTGAAATACGCATTGCCATAAGTTCCTCAAATTCCTATGAGATCCCCTCTAAAGGTATCGTACCGGAGATCCTCGACATGTTTAAGGCAATGAGGAGAAAACGAAGTCCCGTCAAGTAGGTCTCTTTAATTGACAATAAGTATAGGTCGAGGGAACTCACCACTAATTAGAAAGATGGCCAATTAAAATTTGCCTACTTGTACCCGACGCCGTAATTTCGCAATTTGATTTTACCCTTGATCAATCGTAATTTTTAATTTTTGAAATAAACGTATGACTGATTGTAACGGATATTGACAAAAAATTGAATATTTGATTGCAAATGAGGTGTTTAGTGATATTTATTTAGAGTAGACGGAATAAAACTTGCCAAATAACCGTTTTAAGATTTTTC